CGCATAGTTTCGAATCTCATCACGGCTCCTGTGGATTTTCTCAGAGCAGGCCTGATCACGATATAGAAAATACTCCAGAATATATACGTACTGAATAAAAATACAATGTTAGCATTGGTTGTAAGAATGCGAGACAGTATATATGGAAACTGAAAAAAGTGAACCAGTTGGATATATGAGAATATTCCTCCAGCGTACGAGTACTGTACATGTAGAAATACGATTGTGGACACGTACAACTTTCAGTTTAAATGATACAACCAAACACAAGCAGCTGATCCAAGACCTGGAGCCTCTTCTCCACAAACTCACATGGGCACGCGGCAGCAAGGTAAACAAACACCCACACTCATATATACAACGAAAACTCAAAAGACAGAGCGTTCCAACTTGCTTGCTAACTGTGTACATATTTAAGGCTCCCGGCGACATACTGTCCGTTGTAAAAAGAAACTTGACAAAAGTATCGAAATGTCACTTATGTAGAATTCAACTCCCCATGCCACCGCAAGACTGCCACTATGCATATGTGTCGACGCCTGCACCAAGCTTGGCACTGGCGGCAGCAAGAGGCAGAAGGAAAGGCAGCAATGGGAAGGTGAGAGCGTAGGTGGAGAAGAAAGGGGAGGTAATTAAAAGGAAAAAGCGAATTAGGGAAACGGGGTAAAAAATGAACGGGTAGAAGGAGAAGAGAGAGAGAGAGTGAGGAGGAGATATTACATGAACTTTTAGTGAGAGTCAAAGACACTAAAGAGTGCCATGAGAGATCGTAGACCCAGAAACATGAGGAACAAAGGCAAGAATTACACTGTTTGAGAACCTGCTGGAAGGCCCAGAAGTCAGAACTGAGAAATGTGAGAGAGAGAACTGGTTGAATTCAGAGAAGAAACACAAAGAACTTGAGCCACGGAGTCAGTCATTAATGACAGTGAACGATAACCTTAAGTCAATAGAGTATATACGTGGACCTCATACGTAGACCGTGGAGATGTACAGGTTTCGTAAGAGGTTGAATCCCTATCCAGGAAATTCTAAGAGGTTGTCAGAGTTTCAACTCCCTATAAGTAGGAAACACATGCATGACACCTATTGACGCTGCAACTATTAAATAATTATAGTTATTGTCTTCTGATCGAAGTATTATCAAGCCTCAAAACCCGTTTTGGTCGGTTCCGCGACGGCCTTGTCTCTTGCAGGGTCGTTGTTCAATCCCCGACGGTCCAAGTGATTGCCCCCCCCCTACTAAACCTTCACTCCATCCCTCCTATATTCTAACTTTCTCCTCATATATATATATATATATAATATATATATATATATATATATATATATATATATATATATATATATATATATATGAGGAGAAAGTTAGAATATAGGAGGGATGGAGTATATATATATATATATATATATATATATATATATATATATATATATATATATATATATATTTTTATATATATATATATATATATATATATATATATATATATATATATATATATATATTCTTAAATCTGTATCCTAATGGACATATACTCACAAAAATAAACTCATTGTATGCTGCGTATGATCGCCCTAAACGTCTCCAAACTATACTGTAAAACTAACTGTCAATAGAATTCGCTCCGTTCGTAAAATGTGTACAATTCTTCTTTGTAAACTCTTCAGACTGCACTAAGCGGGCCATGTAGAGTACAGTAAGGGAATCCATTGTATACCATACAACCCACGCTAAGAGAATCCACTGTATATCGTAGACTACACTAAAGGGTATCCATTGTATGAAATAGAGATTACACTAAGTCTCATATATGTGGGGGTTGGGTTGTTTATTTTCTGGACGACCAGATTAACATTAAATTTCAAAACTACTTTGTTCAACTGTAGCAATTTGCAGCTGTTTTAAGGCACTACATGATATGATATATGACAGCATATGTTATATAATGCTCCCACTCCATTTACAAGCTGGTATAACATACATATATGTTAATTCAAGACCAGAGGAACCAATGTTAATGGCTACTTTGGTGACAAGGGGCCAGATTCACGAAGCAGTTACGCAAACACTTACGAACCTGTACATCTTTTCTCAATCTTTGGCGGCTTTGTTTACAATTATTAAACAGTTAATGAGCGCCAAAGCACCAAGAGGCTGTTTATAACAATAACAACAGTTGATTAGTAAGTTTTCATACTTGTAAACTGTTTAATAAATGTAACCAAAGCCGTGAGAGATTGAGGAAAGTTGTACACGTTCGTAAGAACTTGCGTAACTGCTTCGTGAATCTGGCCCAAGGTCCGCCAGAATGCGGACGTCTCAACACTGTAACACTAAGAATTGTGTCGCATTAGGTATATGGAACTGGCTTGTTTGATGGTTAAGGGATCAGTTTTGGGGTGGACAGTGATAGAAGCGTCTGATAATGTTTCATGCTCGAATATAGCGTTCAAAACTTTCTTCTTTCATTCTGGGCTCACTCGCAGGCATCCTCTGAAGTTTGGACAAAAGACTTTTCTCTTTTTCATCCTCCTGGACCCCCCCCCCCCTCCCTTTTCTTTACCTCTCTGTTTCTGTTTTTTTTCTCTGTTTCTCTCTCCCTCCTCTCCCCCTTCTCTGTCTCTCTTATTTACCTCTATTTCTCCCTTATTTCTATCATCACTTCTCGTCTCGCTCTCCATCCAACGACCTCACTTCCTGTCGGGACATTCCTTACCCCTCCCCCATCCATCTTAACCCTTGCCTTGTTCCCATCATTCATGTTTGTGTTCCTCCCATCATTGTCTCCTCTTCTTCTTCCCCGTATGTCTTCTGGGAAGTAGAAACTCATACTGTATGTATGAGTTTCCTGTATGTCCATATTCTGGTACTCTTAGGATGTGTTGGTCTATCCAATATCTTATCCTTAGAGTATTCTGATCTATTTAAAAGTAAATGCAATAGATACAATAGACCACAAGAATCAGTGGGTATGCAATAAAGAGGACAATTAGGGAGTTCTGATAGCTTCAGTATCTTGGATCCTATATTACTTTTGTAGTTCATTCCAGGTCATTTTCTATTCTGAAGATTTTATTTATAATGCCTTTAGCTCATTTGCGGTAAGATGTTTGTGTTCACTAACCCAAGTCTCCGTCTTTGTCTATCGGGAATATTGTTCACTTGGTCGATGCCTCCAGGGATCTTCTATGTTGTTGACATTTCTCCCAATTTCGTTCACCCCTGCATTGGAGAGTTTCCTTGCATTTTGCCTTCATTTCTGGGAGCACTTGAGTTGGTGAGACTCTGAAACTCTTTTAATTTATTTCAATGACATCCTCTGCTGTTGTTAAGTTGATGTAATATCTTTATTTACACCTGTGTGTGTGTGGAATTATCCTCCACTATCTCTTTCCACTTCCCTCCACATTCTTGCTCCACTTTCTCTACGTACAGCCTCTCGTTCCTTTCTCATCCATACTGAACAGTTTGTCCATGTGTGCGTGTGTGCGCGCTCGTTCGTGCTTGCACGCGCGCGGGCCAGTGAGCCGATCCCTGAGGTGAACTGAGGGAGATACGTCGCCTAGTGGAGGGAGGGATGGTGGGAGGGAGGGAGGGAGGGACGGAGGAGGGAACCACTCCATCGTATGATGTTGACACAGCGCGAGTGGACACGGGGGCAGCAACGGTGTTCAAGAGTCCTGAAAGTTGAGTGAAACGCACCGGATAGCTGTTCCCTCTTTCTGTGTGGACGGACAGGCGGACCAGAGCTGGGACGGCTTCTCTCTCTCTCTCTCTCTCTCTCTCTCTCTCTCTCTCTCTCTCTCTCTCTCTCTCTCTCTCTCTCTCTCTCTCTCTCTCTCTCTCTCTCTCGTCGCCTCTGTCTGTTTCTGTGTGTGTGTGTGTGTGTGTGTGTGTGTGTGTGTGTGTGTGTGTGTGTGTGTGTGTGTGTGTGTGTGTACATGAGTCTGAACAGGTTTAATGTAATAGATTTATATCACATTCTGAAGATAAGTTATAAATATGCCAGCCTTGCATATGCTGCTGATATGACTCAGTTTACATGTGTGCCTCGAAAGAGAGAAATAGAGATTTTGTGATATTGTTCTCTGAATCATAAGTGTCCTTCCAGGTGATTTCTTTATTTATGACATGCATTGTGCACCACTTGTCATTACATTACACCTGCTTAACTTGAATTCTATCAACCACTCGTCTAAATATTGTTGTTAATGATCCAAATTAACCCTAAGCTTCTAGCAATCACTAACAGTTATTATCCTCTACATCAGTTGTGAGGTATCTTCATTTGTCGAGAAGGAGAGTGTGTATGTATTCACCCATATGTACTAATCTATATATGCATACACGACAAGCATCAGCTCCCAGGCCTGTCTTTCTTTCAAAACTAGCTTCAACTTCCATTTTTGTGTATCTATGTATTTACGTATGTAGGTTAGCTTAGCATTTTAAAAGCACCGAATCACCTTCTGTGGTTGAGTGTTCAATAAACCCTTGAACTATATGTTTAACACATCTCTAACCCTGTCCATGGAGGACAGAAGAAAATGTATATATGCTGGTAAGCATTGTAAATGTCTGGCCACGTCTGTGGTAGAAAATAATAATAATAATAAAAAAAAAAATTGTTCACCCCAATAGTCAGTAACATGAGAACTTCTGATTGGCTACTGAACACCACAAAGCATGCTGATTTTCCTTGTCTACTGTTAGGCACAGATAGTAAACAGTATCTACAGTAAATTAAGTCTTCTGATTTGCTACTCTGATTGGCCCATCTCTGTTGTGAGACGTGTTGATTGGTCATTATTGTGAATGTTATCATTCCATGGCCAGCCACCCATGGCCACCCTCACATGGCCTCTCTCCCATGGCCACACACCCATGGCCACCCTCCCATGGCCACCCTCCCATGGCCACCCGTCCATGGTCACCCTCCCATGGCCACCCTCCCATGGCCTCCCTCCTATGGCCTCTCTCCCATGGCTTCCCTTCCATGGCCACCCTCCCATGGCCACCCGCCCATGGCCACCCGCCCATGGCCACCCTCCCGTGGCCACCCGCCCATGGCCACCCGCCCATGGCCACCCGCCCATGGCCACCTGCTCATGGCCACCCTCCCATGGCCACCCGCCCATGGCCACCCGCCCATGGCCAGCCACCCATGGCCACCCGCCCATGGCCAGCCACCCATGGCCACCCGCCCATGGCCAGCCACCCATGGCCACCCGCCCACATAAAGAGGTGAGGAAGAAGCTGTAAAATTGGAATTAGGAATACCCAGAAAACCTCATCACGAAAAAAATAAAATCATTATCAGTAAACGAAGAATGTCAATAATGAACTTTTTATATTTCCTGGACGTTTCTCCAGACTGACAGACACAGACTACAACAACCGCCTTATCTCAAGCACCAAGTCCTTGCTCAAGCGGATTCACGAAGAGCGCTCAGCGAAGGGTTGGAGAACGAGTAAAGCTGAGAGGAGGAAGAGAGAGAGAAGTGATTGGTACACTTATGTTTTACTCTCGCCATTTTCTGCTTTTTACACCATACCTTGTGTGGTATATTCCCTCCCTTTGTGGTCACTCTAATGGTTCGCCGTCTGACCCTGGCTTCAACCTCATCCTTACCTTTCATCTTACCGAATTATGCCGCCTTCTAATAAATTCCTTGAATAAATATGTATTTATTTATAAATCAATCAAAATCTATGTGTTTCTGTTAAAATTTCTATGTAAAACGCGTCAAAATTTGTCTTCCTGTCGTTTATGAATCAGAAAATACGCACGAGTTCCAAGGAGGCCGTGAGCGCCATTGGTCAACGGAAGGGCAGGCCCGCTCAATACTCCCCGGGTCTCAGCCAATCAGAACTCGCGATGAAATTAATATAGTGACGTCATTGGCTCCCTTCCCCCCTCCCCCAAGGGATGAGCAACCTGTCAAGAAATATGCGCGGGAGAAATATGGCTATGAGGAGACTCTGTCATTCCCGAGTAAATTCTCCCGTTCTTCACTCTGGATGAATTATTCAGAGCTGTTGCGGGGAATTGTGGAGGGCGGGGGTGAGTGGCGGTGTGTTTGCATATTCCATATTTGTTTGCACGCTGTTTTGTCTTCATTTTGTGTTGCTCGTGCGTCCGTGTTTGTGTTTTTTTTGTGTTGAAGCCGCGAGAGAGGTGTTGCTGGCGGCGGGCGGGGTCTTGCTTTTCTTGCTGCTTACAGACTGATTTTGTCTGGGTTGTGTTTATGGGGTGTATGGAGGGAGGTGTTTTATGTTAGTGGGAATTGAGTTATATTATTGTTTACGTATTTGGGGTAAATTGTTTGTTCTGCTGCACATTTTCAAGAGCAGCGGTTTACATGATTTACAAGACGCGTTTTAAAGTGCTTTTATTTTCCCCCTGCTCAATACACTTATTAGTGTTTACCTGAATGAATTTACCTGAGGGGACAGGAAATGCCACTAACATTTCCTGTCCTCGACGAGGACAGGAAGCTGGCGGTTTGTCAAAGATCCCCCCCCCCTAATTTGCCCTGATAAACACTGCGACTTTATCAAAATTTTGTTTAGTGTTTTCAGCTTTTATGAGCATTCCTTTTTTTCAAAAGTAAAGTCCAGTGTTTACGCTGTAAACGAGACTAGCAAATAAAGTTACGATATTCACTATTTCCCCAACACGTAGGAATTGTATAAGCGGTCTGAAGCTGTAAATGCATTTAATGCAGGGATATAAATAATTATACATTCCCTATCTGCAATATCATGTTGGCTGGGTCCTCGGAGAATTGGTCTCAAGACGCCCCCTTTAGGCAAGTATGACTTGGTTAATTATGGATGGAAGGGGAGTTTCGAACCCCTGGAACCTTGCGTCTGAAGCATGGCCAGTCTTTCCTCCATCGTGTAAGTCTCCACGTGTATGTTTATTCATATGAGTAAATCACGAAGAAATTAACAGGTGATTAATAATGTGATAATGTTTAATCATGATGGAAAATAAGTTTAAGGAATTTTCTGTTTAATTTTTCTTCGGATGAAACTTTATCATATGTATATACACATCTTTGTAAACAAATGACGACTTAACTCTTTCACACACACACACACACACACACACACACACACACACACACACACACACACACACACACACACACACACACACACACACACACACACACACACGCAGTCTCGTAGCCTGGTTGTTGGCGTCAGCAGCACAACCGGGAAACATCAGCGGCAGATGCAACGTTGGATAACCCAAAGGACAAGAAGTCATAAGCAAGCTATGGATCACATCTGCTGGACCTTTCCTCGGATATTCAGTGCTAGTAGTAAGCTGTCACAATGCTATTCACTTAAGGAAGCTCGAGCAAGCACAGAAGGATGTCACCTTACTGGTCCAAGAACCAAGAGGCATGATGTATGAGGTTATAGAGAAAATAATAATCAAATGTAACATTTCTTACGGAAGAAATATGGGAAACAGTCCCGATATATAAAGTACTCATGGGAATTAGCATGGTAATGGAGTCACCTGAGGGAATAAAACAGCGGATTCAGATGAAAAATAATCAACTACTCAACTTAATGAGTCACAGGGTAATGAGTCATCGGGTAATGAGTCATAGAGAAGATATTTGACATAACTTGAGCGTCAAAACGCCCAGTAAGGCAGGGAATGAATTAGTGAATGTTGTAGTTCAAAATGAATCCATACATGACTGGAAAATGACTACGAGAGAACCAAAGGAGTTGGAAGGGAATCACAACAGACGATTGAAGCAAGAGGTGCACCTGGCGAGTGAGTGAAGAGGTGCACCTGACGAGTGAGTGAAGAGGTGCACCTGACGAGTGAGTGAAGAGGGGCACTTGACGATTGCAAGTACATGTTCACCAGGCAATTGAGAGAAGCAGAAGGTGAGTGCACACATTCTACCAAGCACTCCGACACCGACAGACATCCTGCAACACCCACCAGATGCAACACCCAACAGGTTCAACACACCGTATAAGGCCCCACGACCTCGAGACCTCGAGATCCAGCCACTTGGACTAGTTGGTAGACCGTTGGCCTCACTTCTTGCAGGGTTGGCGTTCGATCCTGATGGTCCAGGTGATTGGTCAACGTTTCTTTACTTTATATCCGTTATCCCAACTTTTATCCTGTCCTCATATCCCAGCTCCTATCCTGTCCCGGTATCCCTTCTGTGTACTGCGCAGTGATACAGGCTTTGTGCTTTCTTCATTGAAGCGCAAATACCGAGAAAATGAAGTACGCGAGATTATGTATACTTGTATTTCTATGTATTAATCCGAGTTTGCAAGGTTGAGCTTCAGTTCGTGGGCCCACCTCCTTTCCAAACGTTCGTCGTTTGTTAACATGACGTTCAACCTTATCAGTTCCCCAGTTCACACTCCTCATCTTTCTCCTCCATTACCTTATCCCACCCCTACCACCTCCTGCCATCTCCCCCACCATCTCCATCTCCCCCACCATCTCCATCTCCCCCACCATCTCCATCTTCCCCCACCATCTCCCCCTCCCCCTCTCCAACCCATAAAACTAGCCATTATTATCAAGATGTGAATAAAAGATTGTCTGGTTGTGTCTGGGTACGATGTGTTGCAGTGTTGCCAGCCTGGGCGAAGAGGGGGGCATGGGCAACAGTGCTACCAGCCAGGGCATAAACCCCTGTATGCACCTATTACCTCCCATTATTGTTGGCTTGCTCGCTGTTCCTAAATTGGAAGAGAGGCTCTTGACGCCCCCGGGGTTCGATCCCCGGTTACTCAAGTTTACTAGGCCTGTGCTGTATAGGCTTACCTTACTCTTGATAATTACCTGGACTTACCTTATTCTTGATAATTACCTGGACTTACCTTACTCTTGATAATTACCTGGCCTTACCTTACTCTTGTTAATTACCTGGACTTACCTTACTCTTGATAATTACCTGGACTTACCTTACTCTTGTTAATTACCTGGACTTACCTTACTCTTGGGAGGAAACGTACTTGGAGAAGAGGGGCAAGGGGAGTGTTTCTCGGGGGGAGGGGAGAATATGTGGTAGTATAAGAGTAAGGGGAGAGTGAAGCAAAATAGGGAAGTGAAAGAGAAATAGGGTCATGGTGGAAGGATAACAGTCAGTGGAAAATTGGAAATAATGGATATGAAGAAAATGGGAGAACAAATAATGAATAAACAGGAAGAATATTTACAATTCCAAATTATCAATTAACAAATCATTCATTCAATAATGAAAGTCAATAAATCTGTTACGTAATTAGCAGATCTACTGTATAAATTTCAATAAAACACATTTCCAATAATAATATGGACAATAAAGGAAATACCATGTGCCAATTTATCCAACTACCCAGCCGGTCTAGTCTTCCTGCGCATCTAACTATAATACCAGACAATTTAGGAACAGCGAAATAATTAAACGAGGCAGTTGTATTGTGCACTATTTGGGATCGTCCGACCCAAGTCTCGTTGTCTCTTTAAACGAAATATATAATTCAGCTAATTTTATAGTCACCGGGATTACTGATCAGATAATCAAGAAGAATATTCAGTAAGGTGTTTTAGGCACGACATAGTCTATAAAGGTTCAATTAACTGATTGTCTGCTTACGTTATAAAAATTAAACACAGTGTAGTAAAATCTGATTGGCAGTGTGGGGGTGGGTGTTGGTGTGGGGTGGGTGTGTGAGGGGGTGTGTGGGTGTGTGTGGGTGTTGGTGTGGGGTGGGTGTGTGAGGGGGTGTGTGGATGTGTGTGGGTGTTGGTGTGGGGTGGGTGTGTGAGGGGGTGTGTGGGTGTGTGTGGGTGTTGGTGTGGGGTGGGTGTGTGAGGGGGTGTGTGGGTGTGTGTGGGGGGGTGTGGGTGTGTGGGTGTGGGTGTGTGTGGGTGTGTGTGGGTGTTGGTGTGGGGTGGTGTGTGTGGGTGTGTGTGGGTGTTGGTGTGGGGTGGGTGTGTGAGGGGGTGTGTGGATGTGTGTGGGTGGTGTGTGGGTGTGTGAGGGGGTGTGTGGGTGTGTGTGGGGGGTGTGTGGGTGTGTGTGGGTGTTGGTGTGGGGTGGGTGTGTGGGGGGTGTGTGGGTGTTGGTGTGGGGTGGGTGTGTGAGGGGGGTGTGTGTGTGTGGGTGTATTGTGGGTGTTGGTATGGTTGTATACTGGCGTAAATGTACTTTCCTAATTGAGTTTGTGGGGGTTGAATTCAAGTGCTTTGGCCCTGC